CCCGCTGGGGATGTTGGGTGTGATGCAACACTCAAATGTGAATCACTGCCATATCCGACTGCCACCAATTACTGTATTATACACACACATACACCCAGGCTCAAACACACATTCACACCAATATACTGCGAAAACACAGCAGGCTGTCACAAACACTTGAAATCACAGAAACAGAAGAACCGCCTCGAAGCTTTGGATGTATGCACATACTTACAGCATATAACTCACACATACATTAATCCCTGTAATGTCATCCACCCTGTTTTCCTTGAATTAACTTACTGTAGCTAGACCATCATTTGTTGAAGGTAATACCGAGGAATATATCCATTGGTCTTCTTTAACCAAGTCCGGATAAGCTGTTTAACCAATACTAAGAGGTTTATAAGTGCAAAATAAATGAGTGTCTGCAAGTAATGGTGGTAGGTGACGGGAACAATTTGAACACAATTTGGTTGGTCATATAATTGTTATGAAGGCAAAGAAACGTACAGCATGGACTTTGATTTTCAAAGCACTGTTATCTCCTTATTGATCCAATCAATGAAGTTCCTGGGATTCTTTCAGTTGACGATGAACACTGATGATAATTTAAGCCTGAAAACCTAATGAAACACAAGGACATATAGCTGAAGACAATGCAAGCAGTCGGTTCAATAATAATTCCCTTCTATTTTCTGTATATTAATTTCTGCCTCACTTCAATAGTAAATCGTGAATTCTGTAAACTTTTTAGCTACCTGTATTAACAATTCAAATAAGTTTGTATACAGTATGCAGTACATTGTGCGTGCAGTCCACAGGGATGTTTGCAATATATATCTTTCTGGTTTTAATTTTCTCTGTATCTGACCTCATCTAAAAAACCTCTCACTACCTATTAATGATGGCGATACGTTGTAACAGTAGCGCGAGCGACACATGTCGTCCAAACTGTGGGCAAGCTGTGCTAAACACATGAGATTATATCAAATACTTTATTCAAAGACGGCACACCTGGGAATGTGAACACAAAAAAGCTAATACAGACATACAAACTTAGTAGATTTTAGGTGCAATTAGCTTTGAATTGCAGAAGAGAAAAAGCTGAGTTGTAGACTGCTCTATTTGTTTAAATGATATATCCCAATTCACCTCTTCACTAAAAGGTCGCATTGGAAACAGAACAACATTGGGAAGATATTCCACTCAGCTTTTCCTTGCATTTTGAGCCAGTGTTGTCATTACTTTTGATGTCGCTGCAAATCCACAAGGACTTTAAATGCATTTCAAGATGTTAGTTGATGTTCAGTCGGTGTGACAGTGGGTAACAGTGACTTTGATCAAAAGGTTAGGTGTGATGTCCTCAGAAAACATTTCACTTTCAGATTCGGACCTCAGAAGCACAGTGTCACTTCGGTTCTTACACAGAGGTAACAGAGTTTATGACAGACCAAACTATTTTAATGTATTTACACGTGTTGTCCAAAAACAGATATGCTGTAAGGTTGATGCATGTCTGAGCTTCATGGCTGGAATTATACATATGTTTAAATGGGGAGCTGTGTGAGGAGGGACTGAAAGCACTCACATAATACTTTAGAATGATAAGAGCTCCCTCTAGAGGTCAACTCTCCCTGCATTGGACAAACATCAATTTGCTCTCTCCCCTTTTTTGTTTCTTTGCATTTGATGTGATGATGCAGATTTGAATGGTTGATGAAGGATCAAGACATAGCACTGACTTTATTGAATTACAGCAGGTTAGTATGGCGTATTGGCATCAACTGTAATTCTCTTACAGTCTCCTGCATACCTATCAGCCTCCAAAATACACACACCCACACACACTCCCTTTTTTTCCAGCAGCTCCTCCATGGCTTCAATGCAGTCTGAATATGTGTATGTCAGTCAGACTCACTGTATTTTCCATTCATTAGACTTAAAGGACGGGAAATGCCTTTCTGTTTGGCATTTGCAGTTTCCTCTCTCAAGTAAGGCTGATGAGGAGCACACACACTTAAATTATTTACACTTCTATCAGCGTTAATGGTCCCGTCAATTACATTACAGGCTCAACCTATAAGTCTTCTGCAAACCGTCCCCATCCCATAATGAACAACATCTTCATGTATATTTAATCAGAAAGAATGTATATGACACACTGAATAATAATTGATGGTCAGACCTGCCTTGTACTATATGACAACCTCTTTTCTCTAATGGTGAGGATAATATCCTTACAGTTGAGCCTTACAGAAATCTCTTTTGTACTTTTCTGTTCTTGACTTTACTCCTTCCTTCATAAAACCAAATGTAGCCCTGTTATTGCGGGAAACTGAAGCTTTCCACCTACAATATGTGTCCACTCAACTGTAAACAGCCGCTTCCCTTTGACCCCTCTCTCACCGTCTTCCCAGTGTCTGTCTTTTCATTGGCGTCTCTCCCTTCATCCCTCTCTCTGTTCTGCTGCCCTGTTCTCATGCTCCTTTCTTCTTTCACTCTGATCTTTCATATATAATGCATGTTAAACAAACAGACATGTCAGAGTCACTCAAATGCATGGCTGTCCCCTTGCTGCTGCTCCATTCACCCTGAGAGTGGGGGGTCAGCTCTCAAAGGCCCCTGTGTGCTGTGCAGGCCCAACTGAACTACGGTCAGCTACAGCAAATACAGACAGACTCTACTGAGGAGAGTCTATTTATACAAAAAGATTAAACCTGTTTCGGAGCATAAAACCCTACAAGTTCTGAGAGGAGCTTTTATACATTTCTACATTTAAAGCTTTTTGTTAGGTGGATTCTTATAGATAAGATTTTTAACATTGCTTCCTTGTAAAGGAATCCTGTTTGTGCACATTTGTATCTTTGTTTACACTATGTATTGTGTAACAAAGCCAAATGTAAACCTTACAAATGTACATATAGCTCAATTTTGTTACGGTTGAGAGTGCTAAAGACCGTCAGTAAGAGCCATTTTCCATGTCTGTCATTTTACATGTAAATATAATTTATCTGTTAAGGCGTGGGGGCATAAGACGCTGCGCTGGCTCTCTCAAATTGAATACATACATAAATAAAAGAACACACACACACACACACACACACACACACACACACACACACACACACACACACACACACACACACACACACACACACACACATAAAAAAAACACACACACAATCTCTTGTACAAAATCCCAATTTTCCCTGTGCAGAGGTTTGGAGAATAAAGCCAGAGCCACTCATAAGGAAACTGCATTATTTTCCATCAGCACCGTGGAGCGTCCAAGCTATTATACCATCCACCACTAGCATGCACATATAAATGGAGTTTACCACATGACAGAGAGTGTGATGGGGCCTGAAAAGCACAAGGGTATGAGTGGGTTCGTGCTCGATGAGCGGCAGAGAAAGTTCATTTTCATCTTCCATATAGAATATGCTCCACTTGTGTTGCACTCATTTTAATGCAATATGACTAAGTGCACATTTCACAGGCACATTACACAGCAGAGTGCAATGCATAGTGTCAACATGTGTATTTTCTTTTAGATAATTAGATCAGTGTGTTTGAGATTTGTCTTAGTTTTCACAATGTATCTTCTCAAATAAAAACTGAACATAATGAAGATTTAAAGCATAATACAATCATTAAAAGTACATGATCATAAATGGACTCTACTTATATATATATAGATAGATGAATGTGCATTCCTCTTTGAAACAGCAGTCTCACCTGGGTGGTAAGAATAAACAACAGGAATAAATGGTGGTTCTCTACTTTCCACCTACTGTATGCAGAGAGAAATCTGGATTTATTCAGACAGCTAATACACACACAGGGACTCAGAGTGTATACTGTGTGTGGATGAAATGGGCTCCAGAGGCTTTACCTCTCACACAAAGCAAATATCTGTCCAGGAATAACATATTGATTTGTCATTTCCCAGAGCTGAGGCTGAGTAAACAGACTAAGCAGACGTGTGACCAGTGGTGGCTGATAATTTTCCTCCGCTAACAGTCAGAGGCCATGGCAGGAAATGATACACTAAGTTCAGATGCACTGTGTATTCCACATCATTCACATGGCCCTGCATGTTCCTGAAAACACACCTTCTGTTTGGAATTCATAAAGTGAATCTTTTCTGCTCAAACAGATCTATCAAATATTTATTTCCATGTTAACAGCATTTCCCTTCCACAGTATGAACAACAACACGTTTCTCGAAGTCAACATAAATGATTAAGCTTCTAGTTTTGAGGAAGAGTGCTGAGAAGAAGAGAATCCATTTAGTTTTGGTTAAACAAACGATTTTATCTAAATAGATAGATAGATAAATAGATAGATAGATAGATAGATACAGTAGTTTATATATTTAATTATTGTAGTATTACTGAAGTTTAACTGAATTTGGATATGACAGATACAAAACTATGTGGTTTGCACATTTCATATAGCCTTTGGCAATAGACATATNTTGAGGAAGAGTGCTGAGAAGAAGAGAATCCATTTAGTTTTGGTTAAACAAACGATTTTATCTAAATAGATAGATAGATAGATAGATAGATAGATAGATAGATAGATAGATAGATAGATAGATAGATACAGTAGATAGATACAGTAGTTTATATATTTAATTATTGTAGTATTACTGAAGTTTAACTGAATTTGGATATGACAGATACAAAACTATGTGGTTTGCACACTTCATATAGCCTTTGGCAATAGACATATTTTGCTCAAACTGTTAAAGTCCCTTTTCACTTTTCTCTCCAAATATCTCTAATTTTTTTATTTTTGCTTGATTCTGAACCTTTTTTCTCTGAGTCGGTGTCTGTTCTGCTTACAACATGTCCATCAATAACGTCTTATCTTTGCTTAAACATTGTGTTATTATGATGATATTTTCCTTTCCACCAGATGTCACCAAATCACCACGACCATGGCACCTTCCTGCGGTTAAGTCATCCGTCCACTGGATGGAAGCACACAAAAATGCTGCAGTCTAAGAAAGTACGGAGAAGGAAATGCGTCGCAGCATTGTAAACACAAGAAATGTTTTCCGTCTGTTGAAAATAACTCTTTTTAATCGTGTTGTTACTCCAGCTGTTACAATAAATGGTAAGAGTCTACTATATGCTATCTGTTATATAAAGTCGTACTTGGTGCCTATGTACTGACATAAATACTGTTAATAACGTAGAATATACCGGTTAATAATGTTGTTTTTAATTCATAAGAAATAAACATATTGTTATAGAAAGTTCTGTTGATTTACAGCATTATAAAACCTACTTAACCTTAGAATGACTGTTTCTTATAACACTTCACATTCTTCAGGACCAAAGCTCCCAAACAATTAGTCGGCTGGTCGTATTCAAAGAAAGCATCTTATTTCATCTTCCTTGATAGAGTGGCGTTGGCATTGCAATTAGAACTACAATAAGCATCTTAATGTTAATCTAACAGCTCCGGCGATAAACCCCCCCCCATTTTGCATTTTGAAATGCTCCCGATTTCTGATTTCTCAATGTTGGCAAGTATAGGGACTTGCTACAATGGCCTTGAAAGTGTTACCAAGAAAAATTCCATTAGGACTAAGTGAAGAAGTCCTGTTATCCATTAACAGTTGTCCAATCTATTCAATCAATAGTATCCGTTAAGTGTTCATTTTGACGTGGAGGAACATACCTAGGACTGCTTAAAGTCAATGCTGAGAATATTTTATGCTGTGTTTGCTTCTTTCTTTTAGTGTGCTATGTGTAAATGTGTTCTTTGGTTCAAATTGTGTTTAAGTTACGAAAAGGAGGGGTCTTGGCTCCTAGAGCTTCCCGGGTCTTCAAAAATTCCACTCACACTGATTTGTGGAAGTTTGTATTGCTGGCCATCACCTTCAGTTTTATGCTAATCTCACATTTTGCAGTTCATACTTGCAAAATGCACTTTGTGAAATTCGGTGCGTGTGGGAACTCATGCAGCGTCAGAAAAACCCTTTCTATTTTCCTCCGTACCCGAATCTTTTAAAAACGGGTGTACAACGAGCGGATGCAGATTCCATCCGTCGACGTTTTCCATCCGCTGTGACCCACAGCAAGTTGCTATCAGAAACAATGCCTGACGCGTTTTGGACGTAATCTTTTCTTTGTTTACATTAGCAAGCCTCGCTAACACTCAGAGCTAACCTGTACTGAAGAGCACATGTGTTTAAAAAGCAGGAAATAAAAAAAGAACTCACCTTGTGATAAACCCGCAAGAGAAAAAGCATTTGAGCTCCATACTATTTCAGAAATAATCCTTGACGTGGTTTAAACTGGATGGCGTTTTATTACAACCGAATTTAATTTGATCTCCGGTAGAATTCTGATGAGGCATTAGCTCCGCCTCCTCTTCTTTTCTTTTTTTCAAGCTAAGGACCCAAGATCCGCTTTTCTCTAACCAGGCTGCAAAAGAGGGGTTTGAACAGTAAGAGGCATGGCTAAAATGGGTGATCTGTTTGGTATTTTGAAAAAAAAACTTCACAGACATGTCTTATATAGGTGTAGCCCTACAATATATTTTTCAAATGTAGCATGATAGGTCCACTTTAAGTAGGAACTTACTTCTTGCTGAGTATATTTTCTGTTTTGCAAAGCTCTTTCTTTTATGTTGCTTCTGATTGAATGGCCAATGGTGAGTGAATGTGTGTGAATGTCCCTGAGCAGGTGGCCCCTTGTAAGGCTGCCTCTGTATGAATGTGTGTGAAGGCTGACTTGTAACAAAGCGTCTAAAGAGTCTTAAAGACTAGAAAAGCGCTACATAAATCCAGCCAATTTACCATGTTACCATTTTAGTGTGCTGTGTGTAAAATCTGTTCTTTGTTTAAAATTGTGTTAACATTCCGAAAAATTCGGTTTCTTCAGTGGAGCTTTTTCGGGACTTCAAAAAGTCGACCTACATGTTCCTGATTAGAGTGTGAAGTGTGGCCGTTTCTAATGTGGGCCATTGCATTAAATTGAATTAATTCATTGTATCACCTCATTGTTATAGCTATAGCAAAGTTAGCCAAGTGAGTTCTCAAGCCTGGTGTCCCTATAAACGAGCATTTTCTTAAAGCGGCAGTCTCAGCAGAAGGAGACAGATAAAGACAAAGGAGTCTTGTAGGAGTCTGAGTGGAGGCCAACTCTACTTTGACTCTGTTAGGTATCTTATTTGTGCTTTTGCTTCCCTCTCCCTGTTCAGATGTGCATACTCTCTGTTCCTGTTCACGTGTTATCCCGTAATACATGCATCGCACATATCCTCATCACTCTGTCCGCTCTCCCCTTCCCACAGACTCCCGTACACCTAAAACCCTGTCACAGTCAGCCTGTAGAGCTGCCTGTCAGAAACTCAAAACACTGAGTTCTGCAAGTTTTCTGGGTGGGACACTGGACAACAAACTGTCCTTCTCTGCCAACATCGCTGCTTAAACTTTCTCGTGCTGAAACACTCTTTACAACATCAGGAGGATACTGACCCAGAAGTGTCTTAACGCAGGTTCTGGTCCCGGCTTGTGTCATCTCACGCCTTGTCTTGACTTCTCTAACTCCTTGCTGCTTTGTCTATCTGCAAGTGCTGTCCATCCTCTGCAGCTCATCCAGAATGCAGCAGCCCGACAGTTTCTCAACACTCAACCGCTCTCTGCTCTCATTACTGGCTACCAGTGGCTACAACTGCAACAATGAATTCAATACTTGTTTTGCAAATATTTCTGATTCGATCTTTGCTTGCATTTCAATGATGGATGAACACTTATTTTTTTTTTTTCTTCTCATTGAAGTAACATTCAGACATGGCTGAGGAACCAGCAGCAGAAATCCAGCTACTCAGAAGCCTGAAGGTCAAGCTAATAGAAATTCTAAGCGCAGATGCTGATTTTGTCCTGCAGCATACAGACTCTCGCTGCCTGCTGTCTGTTCACGGCTACCAGCAGGTGAAAGCAGGCCGTTTTCCTAGTGAGAAGGTGACTGACCTGTTGGATCTCATCATCCAAAGAGGGCCTGAAGCAGCGCGGGGTCTACTGAAACTGCTGAACGAACACGCCCTGCAGGAAACCTTCCCAATGCTTTGTTTTATTAAGGATTTGAACATAAACACAGTGTCTTCAGGTAGGACAAAGTCTGTTCAGTATTCAGTATTGATGTTCTTTTAGATTTCCATGTTAAATATAAAACGTTTCTATTGACAAGGAATAATCAAGAGAAAGAGAGAAACTCCTGACCTACAAGAGATCATTCCATCCAAACAGATCTGCAAAAAAGGTGGGTGTCAAGCTGACTGAGGGGCAGGGGAGATAGAATAATAAAGAGCACACTATGTAAGTAGTGGGGGTTTGTAGCATGTAGGGAAGTGTGTTCTTCCCTGGTAGATCACTCTTAAAGGGCACTAGTTGCATATTTGTTTACATGAGGTCAATAAGGGGAAGCAATACAAAGATATTCACCTTAATACATTGTAGAGACCTTGACCAATGTCTGATGTGTCTCTCTCATTGCACAGGCTCTTGCTTGGTTCAGGAGAAGCAGCTGATGACCGTGGCTCGTACCATTGGCAAATCTTGGAGGGAGATTGGCAGACTGGCTCTGGAAATCTCTACTGTGAAGATAGAACAGATTGAAGAGGACAACTCAATTCATGTGGAGCGAGTGTTTGCCATGCTGCGCTACTGGAGCACCTGTCAGAGGGAAAAAGCCACTGCTGCGAATCTGCACTCGCTGCTCAGTCAGGGAGACTGGGCACTGCCACCTGAAAGCATTGACTTCCTGTTGGAGATGAAATGAGGCAATGGTACATGCTGTGACCGAGACACTGTTTTTACTGTGAACTTAAGTGTTCCATCATATAGACATCCATCATATTTTCGATATCAGAAAAACCACACTTGAAGACTTATTACTTTGTTAAATCACCCCACATTGCCAATAAGTACCAGTGACTCATTTTGTTCTTCATATGTGTTTCGATTTATATATAGCTATTATATGTAGCCTACACACAACATCTATTTTATTTCTGTTGGACTGGGTCCAAGGGTAAAGGGTATTGATATTTGGCTAAGTTTAATGATCAACTAATGTTACCTTTCTGTAAAAGTAATGATATAGAAACTTCCCGTCCGCACAGCAGTGTTAAAAAAATCTTGAAAATCTTGGAGCTGGGCGTGTCTGAAAGCTTGGGGATTTTTTGCGAGCAACGCGACCAACAACCAATCACATGAATCTCCCGCCCCCGACATACAAAGCAAAAAACCCCGGGGATTTTATGCGAGCAATATATATATATAAACTCCCCAAACAGGCGAAAACCTACCAGTTTCACCCACTGTCTCTGCCACCTCCCTCCATGCCTGGTTCCTCCGGTTTTTATACCGGTAAATAGTTACTGGTCGTGAAGAACCGGGTGATTTGCTACCGTAATTTCTCGTTTGGAATATGAGGAAATGAACTGCAGTATGTCTCTCCCAGCTTACACGCGGTTTGATTGGCTAGCGCTTGTACTGTCAGATTTGCATAAACGGGATTTGATTGGCTGACGCTTCCACCTCAGCTTCAAAAGTTGAACATTGCTCAACTTTTGAATCCTGAAAATCCGCGTGACCGACAAAACGCAAACGCTACATAAAACGGTTCACGACACAAACTTCACACCACACAGCATGGTGACCCGGCTCGACGGAGGAGACGGTGCAGAACACCATGAGCACGCGAGGAGAGGCTGTCGAGTGACTTCCCAAACCTCCGTCCCCTCGGTTAGACGGAGGAGGCAGAACACCCCGTTGCATACCGACTCCCCCTCTCGTCCTCTGCCCCTCTCCCCTCGTGTGTGTGTGTGTGTGAAGAAGTCCCGTCTTTGTAAGTACGCTGTTACACGCGTTTTTTTTGTCTATCGAAAAAAACAAGAGAAGGAAGCCCTTGTAGGTTTGTGCACAAACAATTGGCTGTCGGCGCTTCGCGTGGCACGGTACACTGTCATGCTGTGTGGTGTGTGCCATGTGCACTGTGCATGAGGGTTATTCGGCGTTGTGTTGGGGTGACAGACTCACAGCATTATGTTGGCTTTTGAGTCCCGACCGACGTATAATTTCCTATTTTCACGAGCTAGGT